GCCCCCCCCCCCCCCCCGCGCAAGTGCGGCCCCAGTTGCTGCGGGCTAGTCTGAGTCAGAAATCCTTCCTTCCTTCCTTTCTTCCAGCACTGGGCCCGGGGGAGAGACCCGAAACCCTGCGCTCGCTTTGCCGCACGAAGGTCCTTCGAGTCTTTGTCGGTGCGAGACTTCTGACTCTCTCGCTTTGTCTGTTGTGTCTCTTCTACTTTCAGGTTGATCGGGCGGCCGTCAGATCGTGCGGCCCAAGGGTTTGTGTATAATATGTACCGGAAATAAGCATGCCAAAGTCGTCAAACTGCGACCCTTCGGCTACAGAGCTGCATGGACTCAGATTGGCAAGTGTGGAAAGGCTCACATCCAGTGCCAGGGCCAGGCACCTCTTGTATGCGCTCGCATCCGCGATGGGTGGGGGATCTGCATAGCCACCACAAATGCTGGCGTGCTGGTTGACACAGAACGCGCAAATCCTTGGCTCGTCTGGAGATGTCGCCAAGTTTATGCTGACAGCATCGGCTCAACGAAAGCCGCCAGGCATCCAGTAGCGATGCTCGTTTCCATGCAGCTTCCACAGGAGTTTATCCACTTCTCTGGCAGCATCTATTGGGCTGCCTTTGAGCTTGCCCGCGACGCGCCAGTACTCGTCCTTCGAGCGCAGTTTAGCCCACGAAATTCAGCGACAACAAAAAAGCTGCTCGAGGGACTGGGCCGCAGTTCACTCTTTCTGTGTGTCTTTGCAGTGGAGTAGTCCTTCTTGCCCGCATCGGCTATGATTGCAGCTACCTGAGCTGCGTATTGAGAGTTGAGTGACACTTTCTTTCGTATACTCGAAAAAACTCATTCATCATGGATGCCATGCAGCTTCCAGTAAGGCTCTCACTAGGTCTCTGAAGTTGTTGCGCCAGGAATGCGTAACCTTCACGCGGCAGTGAACAGATGCCTTGTGCTCTTCAATCTATCAGGTAGACTCCTCTGCGAAGATAACCTTCAGGCATGCAGCCATTGCTTTTGGAGGCATCACTTCGCCGCCTTCCTGGAACACCTGCCGACAAACAGCTGAGACTCTGCACTGCAAATCTGCATGGAGCAGCTGGCCAGCACGTGTAGAACAACTAGAACTAGAGTGACCAGCCATCTTCGCTACATACAGGGAGACGTCGACACAGCAGCAAGAAATGACAGTGACACGGTCTGATTAAAAACTTGCAGAGTGAGGACGCGATGGCAACTTGCGCTATGAAGCCTTCGCCAAGCAGTCTCCACCGTCGGGTCTGCGCGACTTGGGAATGATAGCCTCCGCGAGACGAAAGACAGCCGGGCTACCAAAACCAATGGCCCTGCAATGCCCTGGGCCCATGGGCCCATGAGAGAGTATGAGAGAGTTCACCAACTCCCCTGTGGCCCTGTGGCCTGTCGAACCACATCGTTGGTAGTCGAACGCTCCTCAGTCTGGTCCAAAAGACAGAGTTCACCAACAATTCTGCAGCGAGTACGTGCTGATGTTGTGTGGGTGTACATAGAAAACATGGTCTGTAAACTCTAGACAAAGCTACAGGAGTGGTCAATTTCTGCCTAGCCTGGCAATGAAACATCCGTGTCTCCTGTGCTTATGGCAACTGAGCAGCGGTGTCGTAGTGCGGCATGAGTCCTAAAAGCCGCGGAAGCTTTTCGTGGACTCTTAACTGCAGCGGCAGCGGTATGCCTAAACCCAGTCTGCACGCCTTCACTGCCGAGCTCGCCCCAGAAACGGAGAAGCTGCTCCAGGGACACGCTCCTGCCGAAGAGTAGACTTGAAGCAGACGACTGATGTTTCGGCAACCTGAATCCGTTCTGTCATGCGCCCCGTTTGCACTTTTGACTTTTTCCCGTGTAGTACTCTTATCATGTTTTGTCGCTCCTGTAGTCTTTCTAGCAACCTCAGGCCTACTTTTGAAACTGTCACCGCCCGACCTTGAAGCCAGCTCCCGCGCAGTGGCCCACCATGCTTCGGTAAGAGTATCCGCGCGAGTCATCAGTCTCACGCTTCCTGTGCCCAGGAACCACTTCGAGCTGCCGGGGGGGGAAGCTAGCAGCCATTCGCTGAACCCAAAACCCCATGCTTCGTCACTCAATTCAGCTGCAACATGCTCCAACTCACTTGCCCGCGTCTCCTGCCCGGCGGCCCGGCTGTGGTGCCTCAGACAGGCTCTGAAGAGGCTTGTTTCCGGCTACTGCAGCTCGACCTTGTGCCACAAGACAGCTTCTATGACACCATGTAGCAAAGATGCCACCCGAATATCAGGCGGCTTCAAGCTGAAGACGCCCAGCAAAGAGAAAAGAGATATGATCTCCACCATGACAGCTCCTCGTGCTCCAAACACATGCAGTTGCTGTCTCATTGCCCTTCCGTTCCGACTTCAGCATGAGCTGTGGGTTATCTGGCAAGTAGCATGCGACCACGAAATATTGCAGTCATGGCTCCAAGTTCCAACACTGGGACAACCTGCAGCATCAGCTGGATAGTATATACTGTGATATATGTCATGGAACATATGCTAGAATGTACTGTCGTATACTGTCTAAGATGCAGCATCAGTTGGGCGAACTGTCCACAAATCGGCATGGAAGTATGAAGGGAACCAGCGGACGACGTAGTTATACGTAGTTGGCGCCGTATTGCCAAGAGGGGACCCCAGCTTAGGCAGGAGGTTCGGAAGAAACTTGTAGTCTAATCGTCAATACCAGGATATTGAAATGTTAAAAAGAAATAGAAGCTGCTTTGAACCGGTGGCCAGCTGGTACGCGATGTAACAGCGGTCGTCGTCCTCGGAGCCTCGGAGAGATAACGACTGAAGTCTCGTGCACTCGATCTCAGACCCCTCCAATGGCCAGGGAGCACAGCACAAGGAGCCAGGGGCGGCAGATGCAAATCAAGGCCGCAATGGAGGACGAATGGCATGTTAACCTTGTCGGGCGCTTTTTGACTCTGGCCTCTATGACATCTATGAGAACCAGCACTTGGTGGGCGCTTGTTGTGGATTGTTGGATGAAGTGACACAGTTTGCAAGAACAACCACAGGCTTTTGTTGCTTGCCCCCTCACACATACTCCGAGTGTGCCCGAGTGTGAAGGCACGTGCAAGCGAGGTCACCAGGAGCCGAAACCATCCCACCTCCGCGTCGTGTGAGGCCAGCGCAAAACCCCCACGACGTCGGTGACAGCATGTCAATCGGACAGCTGCGAACCATTGCTAACCATATCATCTCATCTCATCCCATCTCACATGCACACATGCATAAGCACCATAACGCTGCTCGCCCCCCCACCCCCAAGATCTACGTCTGCAGGTTTCCAGAGTCTGGATTTCCTGATTTCCGCCTATCTGCAGGACGCAGGTTTCCAGATTCCAGATTTGCTTGCCCCCAGTTTCCAGAGATTCCAGATTTCCAGATTTGCACGCCCTAAACTTCCAGAGAATCGAGATTTGAACGCTCAAAAAATGTTTCCAGATTCCAGATTTGCAGAAATCTGGATCTGGAAAGCAGAAATCTGGAATCTGGAAACCTGGATTATGTTAACTTTGTTATCGCAACTCTGGAATCCAGAAACATGGGGGGGTGCAAATCTGGAAACATAGGTCGTGCAAATCTGGAAATTTGGAATCTCTAGAGACTTGGGCGTGCAAATCAGGAGAAACGGATTCCTATGAGGGAAATCAGGAACCTACTAGTAGAAGAGTAGCCTGTAAAATACCTTGTAGAATACCCCCTCTATATACCTTGAAAAATTTCAAGCAGAATGCCTGGCTGATACCATCAGAATATATTTTATATACACCGTAAAAACCTTACGGAATACCCTTTAGCCTATAGAATACATTATAGAATTCCTTTCTATATATACATTCGATGGAATACCTTTTATACCATCTCTTATGAAATACCCTAAAGATACCCTATACAATTCCCCATAGAATACCTTGCTTTTCTCCTATACACCATACATAAGCCTTATGGAATTCCATCCGGAGTATTGTGTAGAATGCCTTATGCTTATGTATATATTAAATATACCACATAGCTATCCTCTAGAATACCTTTCAGGATACCCTTTAGAATAGGCTAATACAATTCCCCATAGAATACCTTGCTTTTCTCCTATACACCATACATAAGCCTTATAGAATTCCATCCGGAATATTGTGTAGAATGCCTTATGCTTATGTATATATTAAATATACCTCATAGCTATCCTCTAGAATACCTTTCAGGATACCCTTTAGAATATTTTACAGCATACCCTATAGCATACCCTATAGACAATGATTAAATAAGGAAAAGCAGGAGGAGCCCACCGTTTTTGGGCAGGTGTAGCAGTGTGACATGTGAGCTTGTGCGGGCGCAGCCTTCAATCGCCGAAAGAGATTCACAGTGCCCGTGATACACAGTGCCCTTGATGTACGGTTCCCGAAAAATTCAACCGAAAAATTCAATCAACACTAGGTTTTTCAATACAACAGCCAATGACACGCAAGACCTTCCGACAGTTTCGGCTTTCCGCATAGATGAAGTGCTATTTTTATTGGCCGAAATTCGGCTGCGGAATTGTCGATGTGTCGGCACAAGATGCTTCGCAGCACCGTTTGTATGTGTTCGAGGATACAAGTGATAATAGCGATATTTGCGGTGGTTTCTGTACTTTATGTCTAGTGTACACGTATGTATAAGTAAGCATGAAATGGTATGAAGCCTGCAAGCGTAGATCTTGGGGAGGGGGGGGGGTGACCATAACTTTATAGAACTAGCATTTACACACAAAAAGGGTACATACAGACTGTAGAACTATCCGACTATCCTGCCGCTGATGCTCCCCGGGTCAGTGACAGACGACACAAGCCTCTTCCTGGAAGAAAGGACAGGCGAAAACAAAGAGAGAGAGGGAGAGAGACAGAGAGCGAGAGGGAGACAAAGCCACTAGGGGTCTTGATCTGGGGAGGAATGGGAAGAAAGCCACGACAAGATACTGAAAGTGTAGCTTTTCGATACCACCACTTCTCTCAACTCGCCCGATTGACAGCTTGGCTTGTTCTGGATCCAAATGCTCTAAGCCCACCACTGACGAGAATGTGCGCATCTACAGATCCACAGTGATGCTTCAACGAGTCATGCAATTCCACAACGCGGCTGATTCTGGATCAGCAGTAGTTCCTGCTGCTCGGCACTTCGCAACTCGGAGCAGCACACGGTCTACTCGCCAGACGAGGGACAGCACAGCCAATCGAGCATTCTTGAGCTCGGTCGCCGCCCAGGTTGCCTCCCACACGTGGTTAATCGTATATAAAGATTTGTACATATTGCATGTACTGATCTCAGTTCTGTGCATTTACATACAAATATGTGTGTTCTATGTGGGGTCTGATCGTGATCCCTCAACTCCTGGAGCCCTCGGCACAACGTCGGCCAGCAGCCTTGCTGGGTCCACCGCGCCCAGCGCCGGAAAGTACACCAAGCTACAATGGCTGCGAAACAGCGATACTTAACCAAGAAGACTGCTTACTATCATGTTACATACACAAACTACATCCAACTACCATAGAAACCCTCAGCCCTTCAAAACCGCTTTACATGAGACTTTTCAGCGGTGCCTGCCTCCGCCTTAATATAAGCTCCGAGGTCATCACTAACTACCGCAGGCCGCGCTGCCTGCTCCATCCTGCTCCGAAAATGGGTTTCGGTGCTTCCAGCGTTAGGGTTTGGGGTTTAGAGTTTAGGTTTTTGGGCCTAGGCTCTTGAGTAAACTGGAATTGAAGCCTTCGGATCTCAGGCTCTCGGGTGCGACATTCCGGTGTGCCACGCTGTGTGCGGCTTCTACGCTCAGGCTTTTGCAGGAGCCAGCCGGTCCTGCGAAACGCCCTGAACGTCACAGCACTCGTGATGCCGAAGGCGAAGAAGACAACAGAGGCATTAAACTTGTCGTGGCCTCTAAACAAGGCAGTTGTGAGATATTGCTGTTGGTGATGCCCCTAGTCATAGTGCTGTTCTCCATATCAGTATCAGCTGGTGTCGATGCCTTTGCTGTTGGTTGTTTTGGTGATGATGATGATGGTGATGACGACTCACACATTTCATCAGATATCGCGCAATGAAGAACTGCGAATTCTGAAACTGATTCTTCGACTATGCCTGTATGTGACTACGTTCACTCCAGTCTTTTAGCTGGTCCTACCACAGCTGCTGTTGCTGCGACGACTACAACTGGGACGAGTACTCGTGCGACCAACTACCCCGAATGACAACGATGATGCTGCTGCTACTGCTACTCCTCCTTCTCCTTTCACTTCCACTGTGGGTTGCACTCGGGTATATCGTTGACTGCCTCTCACCTTGCGGTGGTCAAAAATCACCAGTACCAGTGCCAATACTATCATCACCATGACCATGATCATTCATGATCACGACTCCTGTCTTCTCCGGCTACTGGACTACGGTATCGGCACCATCCAAGTATTGTTGGGACTCGTGCACTTGCAGAAAAGTTGCTCGAAGTTCCCTGCGCTCCGAGATCCCTTCGGCCGAGAAATGCCTCGATGTCATTTTCTTAGTTTTGTTGTCTTATACTGCGTATAATCATGCTTGATTTGGTGTCTTGTGTTGATTGGTTGTTGTGCTTTTGTTGAGCGCCTGATTTCAGCCGCCAAATCAAGGTTGGTCGAAACCCGCACTGCCGGGAGGGAGGCAGGGGTACGTCAAGGTTTGGGAGAAAGAGTTGAGGCAGGGTGTACGGGTAGCTTTCAGACAGTTTCGGGCTCCGCACGCGTGCCCAATGCGCGAATTCCGCACCAGTGCCAAGGGCTGATGGCTACTACTGCTGGACCACTGCCACTCACTACCTGTTCTCTTGTTGTTGCTACCGCCCTTCCTGCGGCACAGCTGATTGACTAGGGCTCTTCCTCCCCTGTTGTCATTCTCATCTGTCACGAATCGACATGGCGACATCGCTTAGACCGGCCAAACAACCATAGGCCATATATGCGAGGTAGGTAAGTACAAACATGCATCCATACGTACATCATCACCTCTTGCACATGCACATATTCATGCCATAAGAAACGAAACATTGGGTCCAGGTATGTCCACGGCGCTGCTGGCTTTGCACCGAACAAGCCTTTGGTCACATAGCTGCTACAATGCCACGCCTCGGATCGCGCTTTGACATGACAGTTGGGGGGGGGGATTCTGAGTTTAGAGAGGCCTCACCATCAAACAAATGCTGCACGGTACCACTAATCAGCAGTGCACTCAGAGCTGTGGGAATCTTTCAAATCAAAGCTGCCGCCGACAGTATCGCCAAAAACACCAAAAAGTTGACCAAGTGGAGGAGGCACTGAGCACCTCGGGCGCATGGAACCCTCTACGAACTGCTAGGCAAAGTACACAGCACTTGGTTGGCTGCAGGGGGTCGCGTTCGGGGGTCGCCAAGCCCCTGAGCAGCATAGCCACCAGGTTGACGCTTTCAAGAAGTGCAACTGAAGTGAACTCTTCAGTATGGCCTGCACACAGCTACAACGAAACTCGCCTAAACCCCTCATCCAGGCGGGGCGCCCAAGGGCTTCCCGTAGCCAACCTCTAAAAGCTTCAGCCGCAGCTTCACAGACCTCCCAGCAGTTTGGAAAGGGAACCATGAACACCCCCTCGGGTTGCTGAAGGTCTATGGACTATGCTTCCGAACCGACAGCACCACAAGGAAGTGCCTTTCGCACCTCAATGCTTTTTATCTGCTACGAACACAACACAGGCATCTTGAAGGTACCCCTAATCAGCTTTCAACATTTCGATGATGCTGGCATCTCCTGAACATCGCTGATCCGGCCTTATGAATGCTGCTACCAAGAGGAGCAGCAACGGCGATGTGATCACGTTGAGTGCCAAGCCCAGATGAATGCCGCGAAGTCCTTCAGCCGTTTAGGGCTCAGGGGATTTCAGGGGTTTAGGGCGTTTAGGGTCGAAAGGAATTCTCGACCCTCGACGCCCATTGCACCGTGTCCTGGAAAACACCACGTGGCTGCACAGCTGGCAGCAGAAAGCCCGGCCAGAAGCCAGGACAGCGACAAGACGGAGCAGACAGAGGCCTCTGTGCCTGCCAAAATTCAAAAGAAGAGGCACCCTCTCTCTCTCTCTCTATATATATATATATATATGTATATGTATATGTATATGTATATGTATATGTATATGTATGTATGTGTATGTATATATATATATGTATGACCAGCTGGCAGATGCCGATCCGGCCAGACCCATCCTGCTGTTGTCTCCAATTAGTGCCAAGCTGCTGAGCATCTTGCTCTGCCCTGAGGCAGAGGCAAAGGTCAAGCGCATGCGCAAGGAGATAAAGAGGTTTGCGGCGATGTTGACGAGAGCGCTGAAGGAGTAAACCAGCACGGAGAATCTCATGCCAGGAGCGATGCCATTGATGTCATCTGCAGGGACAGGATAAAAGGGGCAGAATCATTTCATTTCGCGAGGTGCAGATCAAAGTTCGCAACAGGGGTGTGCCAGCAATGTACGGATCACCCAGAAACGATCACGATGTGAGAATACGAACCCAAGTCTGGCCCGCGATGACCTCCCAAATGCTCCTTTCGCGCCTGCATGGTGCAATCTGGGCATCTATGCAGTGCACACGACTGTCAAACAATCGATGGACACTCCAAGTGCATCACATGTCGCATGCCCGACACTTTACAGTCAGCACTGCTCGTGTGGCAATGCGTATAACGCTGTCCTGAAATCGACTGGTGTGACACAAGGCCCATGTGTGAGAACAGCAAATTCACGATGCCTCCACCACATCGTCACAGAATTCGGAGCCATCACTTAGCCTAAGGTTTGAAGTTTGGAGAGCACCAGGGCAGGACCAACGCCCGTCAGCAGCACTTTCTGTCGCTCTAGCCTGCTGCGACTCATCGCATCCTGTACTGTGTGGAACTACACGCACGAAAGACCCTTCAAACGGTTTCGTTTACGGCAGCTGCGCAATGCTGCAAGTACCCAGCCGCCAGGAATGCGGACATGAAGCGACAGGAACTCCGGGAACAGTGCCGGAACGAGTAGTAGCAGCTGGAAGATGGCCTTGGCCACCAACTGCCAAAGGCTTTATGATTCGTGACCTGCAGTAAACCCTTAACGCCCTGAACCCTAAACATTAAATCCTAAACCAAGACCTCAAAACCCTAAACCCTAACCTCAAAACCCAAAGAGTCGAGCCGGGATGCAAATGCGCAATCCGGTAAGGCCTGGCGCCAAGTGAGCCGCGGACCAGATTGATGACAACCTTCTGACAAGACACGCTGGAATCACAATATGTAGGTCTGTCTTTATGTATACACACACACACATATATATATATACATATATATGAATGAACACTGAGATGAAATATGATAAAAAGCATCTGACGCGTCTGCACAGTACGTAGTTGCATATCTGCGAGCAGGCAGCGTCTCGAAGATCTTGACGGGCGTTTGTCAAGGCTGGTGAGGCCTCGGCGGAGGGAAACGGGCATCTTCCATCTTCCGTATCGCGGACGTAGCGATCGATTGCCATAAGGTCACAAGGTCACATCATTCCTGTGGTCAAGCTGCGAAACCAACTGCCGAGCCGCGCCTCAGCAACAGTGAACACATCTCCTGAATACTCATGCAGTCGAATATGAACACGAACTGACAGCTGCCCGAAGTATGTAATGGCCAAGAAGCTGTTTCGGACGTTTCGGAATCCTGCACGATTCGTGGACTCTTGGGAAGGTAACATGGCTATATCTCCATGCCTCGCACTGCATGATTAGCGGCCCATGACAAGTTGGAAGCTGCCACGGGTAGTGGTTCAAGCTGATGGTAAACAACACGTCTCCAGCAAAGTGCATCGTGGTCTTTGTCCTCCTCCAAAGAATCGCTCGAGTCCCCAAAGGACAAGTCCGAGGCCTGACAAACATGCGATGTGTCACAATAAACTAATGCTTGGATGACAGCAGCAGCCGATGCTCGCAAGCAACAGCAGGCCACTAAACTATAGCGCTCAATTCGATCAACGGCACACTGCTAAGGTATCCTATTTGCAGAGAAGGAACGAGAGTGAGGCAGAGGGAAAAGAGCCAACCGGAGGGAAGAACGAGAGAGTTGGGAGAGAGACGGAGAAGGTGCAACATCTACATTTCCGCCATCGCTGCCACACACCACACCACCACCTGCGCACTACCTGCAACGCATAGACTTACATACTTCTTACTGATATGAAACATGATGCGATCATGTTAGGGGATGGTAGCCGATGTTACAAGTATAATATAAACGAACAAGTAACGCGACAACGAAGCCAGGGCATACGGCACATAATGCTGCATGATCTTGCGATGTAGATGAGCCAAGAATTTGACAACTTGCAATATGCAAGAAGTACTGTCCAGGTGTACACGAAGCAAAAGCCACAACAGTCATCAACAGTCCTACTACGATTTTGCTGCCACGGGGTTCGACATTAATATTGGCACTTCTAGACGGACTGGTGCTTTTCTCTTCGTGTGGGAACCCCGAGAGGCCCAAAGGCATGAGGGCATCCACCCTAAACCTTAAACACCTAAACCCCTAAACCCTAAAAGCAAATGGCCTCGCTTGATGTGTCGCTGACACAGGACTCGCTCATCCTGGGAATCGCGGGTGAACTGCTTTCGGCTGGAAAAAAAGAGACGTCTGCCATGAAAGAGCTCAACACAACATCAGCCTCATGCGAACGGTACTACGCTTGGAGAACCTTCTTTTTTTGTAACCGTATGGTTATGATAACCCATTTAGTACAGTAACGGTAGAGTCCGCAGGGTTTATTTCGATCCAAGCCCAGTAAGAACCAACAAACAGGCAAACCGGGGCAGGTCCTACACCCAACAACAACAAAACATGATAGAAACCCTGAGCCATAAACGGCCCCAAACTTAAAGCCCCTAAAACCTAAACTTAAAGCCGCCAAATTCAAGAACCCTTAGCATCCGAGCCAGCTTCGTCGTAAGCTGCGAGCACCGGCCCCAGCAAGCGCTCTTTGGCGCCGGACCATGGCTCGGGGTCCCAGCGTTTCAGGGCGCTTTTCCTCAAAATTTAGATCTTAGGGTTTAGGGTTTAGGGCCTAGAGGCTTAGAGGGAGGCGAGCTCGAAGCCTGTTTGTTTGGGGGTCTGGAGTTTAGAGGGTAGGCTCAAACGTCTATGTCTGCAAGCATGTGCGGTGGGGTGCGGAGCAGCCGACTACGGAAGACTTCGTCAAGACATGAAGATAAATGGGATCGATTCGGTTTTGGCTCAGTCAGCGTCTTGTCCAGGACTTGACCGAGTGGGCTATAGGGTAGCACCCTTTGATGCGGTTCTTTTACGTTTTAGAGAAGGCTGAGCAAGCCGTGAGGCTGCAGATGACACCGCAGAGCTGCAACGCTCTCCACTGCATCCGGTGCGGGCGTGCTCCGCTGTGCAAGATGCTGCCTCCTGGTCTCATTGAGTATGGCGAGTCCTGGCACGTCATCTTAACAACTACCGGTAGCTGGCCGCTTTCGGAGGGTGGTGCCAGTGGGAACTATGCGGAAGCTGCTGAACTGAAGAAAGGAGCTGCTCTGCAACATAGAAGTCCTCGAGTAGCCGCCCGGGGGGCACGAAGCGAGCCAGTGGGTCGACCTACAAGGCAGCAAACGGGAGCACCTTTCCGGCAAAGGCTCGCGGGACACATCTGGGCACAAAGGGAAGCTGGGTTGTTTGGATGAACGGCGCTGCACATCGCCATGTTGGTGAAACTCTTCACACCCTCCTCCAGCTCAATTAAGCCTGCGGGAAGTGAAACTGATCCCACAAGGGTTTTCAAGCGCACCGCATAAGACATACTGCTAAGCAGGAGCTTGAACAAGTCGGGACGTGCTGATCTGAGGCAGGGGACAAGCGTAAAACACCAGTTGCAACCGACATGCAAAGGCATACCGCGCTGTGGGAGCCTCCTACGGTTTGTACAAGTGAAACTTCAATTCTAGCTGCTTGCATCATCAGGCAGTATCACTGTCCTTGGTTTCCGCTCTCAAGTGCTCTTAACAACGGCAGAGCACGATTTCGTCATGCCTGCCGCTTCACATCTACAGCCCGGCCCCAAGCTACTTGTTCCTCTCCAAGTGGCCCTGCGATTCTCTTCCATACCAGGAGGCTTCCCAGTGAGGAGAATGATCGCCTTCAGCTTTGGTCAACAGCTCGCGTCGCAATCACGGCAGCCCGCAGGCCCGCAGTGTACACTGCCGAGGTGCCATGCGATGCACTGGAGCATGCTTTCCGAACCTCTGCTTGACCTCAGTCTGTCAAAAGGAGAGCACCGCTTGCAATGAACTGATGGACACAGCGCTTAAGCATCTATTGCACCTGCTACGCATTCCTGGCAGGCGCAACTCAGTCTCCAGCCCACTTCCGTACCTGATCGCCAGTGAAAGGGTGGCAATGCCCAACTCTCTGTGTGACTCAATACTGTATTCGCATCTTTCAGGGGTGTTGCACAAGAGTACACTACTCACTATTTACCATTTCCATACTCCTTGCCTTGTAGGCAGACTAGAATATCGCTTGTAACACGTAGCACACCAGCTATGGCAATAGCAGTGTAGTATAGCAAAGTGTAGTCTGGGGCCTCTGTATCTTCCAAGCCGTCTGGCACGCGGCCGGTGGCCACGGCAGCAGGTAGCACTTGGAACTGCAGAGGCCTCGTTGTGTGCTCATCCGACTTGCTCATTATATAGATTGCATGTGGTTGTGTCAACTGCTGTATTGATAGTTGCACTGAGCATATTTCAACCTTGACGTGAGCATCCGTAAGACACTGGCAGGCCGAGCATGGTCTTGGTATCGCTGCTTTCGCCTTAGTCACCGTGTGATGATAGCGACATATGGCGACTTGCATCGACCAAACGCATGCCTGAGCTCTTTGCAAACGATCAGAGCCAGTTGCAACCAAGCAGCGAAGGCTCACCTCATGGAGAACACTCCCTACATAATGTGGCTTCCACTCAGATGCTCTGAGCCTTCCCGGTGTCCCACATTTTGCCAAGCTGCCTCTTCCTCGGTGAGCTCCCAAACGTGTCCGCTGGGTCCCAAGTTTGTCATGGGTGGCAGCTCAGCGGCTGCCCGCTGCATGAGCTCCTCCTGCGGACGCATGGGACTTGTCGGTGAGCCTTCATTCCTGAGGTTTTTTGCATGAAGCACTATGACTATGACCTACTGTAGGGATGCTCAGCACACCTGGGACCAAGCTGTGGGTATCTGGGGGGTCCCCGGCCCGCATCCAGAGAGTCCTTGGACACCGTGGGCTTTGGAGCTGCCTCTTCTTGTCCCTCCGCTGCCTCGAAAGGGGTGTCCACCGTTTCCGTACCTCGACTTTCAGGTTGCAGCTTGGGTGGGCAGGTAGCATCATCTCATCTTGCGAAGGCCTTCTATCGAGATGACAAAAGAAGGATCTATCACATCGCAACCCCGGCGCCTGCATCTGCTTCTGGCAGCAGCAAGTGCGCCTGAAGCAAATGACCAACTTGCATTCATGGATAACACAAGCTTGAACGGGGCAGGGACTCCGCGTGCAGCAACTTTCTCGGCATAATATTATTGAATTCAAGAGCTCGTCCTCCGAAACATACCTGACTAATGTGGCGGCTCATTCAGTAATTTGGGCGTCTTTAATGCGTT